AACGTCTTGGGAACCGCGTGAAACACTTAAACAGAAGCCTCTCGGGCTTGGGGCTCTCAAGGGCACCTTGGGGAGACCATTCAGCATGGCTAGGCTACAAACATATATATATATATATATATATATAGATAAGGAACCTGCTGCGCCAGGGACCGCAGACTTACGTAATTTGGATACTATGTACTAGGTTCCTTAGAGCCGTGTCTTAAATTCGGCCTCGATGGGCCATCTGTCGTAAGTAAGCACAGTGAGGTAGGCTCTGGGCTTGTGAATTGCACCCTTTAGGGTCCGCCCGCCCGACACTACCCGACCCGCCCGTCAGGGTCCGCCCGCCCGACCCGGCCCCCCCGTTAGGGTTCGCGCGTGCTCGGTCGAGCGCGCCCCACACTTTAATGTCCCGCCCGCCCGCCCGACCCGGCCCGCCCGTCAGGGTCCGCCCGCCCGACCCGACCCGACCCGACCGCCAGGGTCCGCCCGCCCGACCCGACCCGCCCGTTAAGGCTCGCGCGTTTTCGGTCGAGCGCGCACCACATTTGAATGTCCCGCCAGGCCGACCCGACCCGCCCGACCCGACCCGACCCGCCCGCCAGGGTCCGCCCGCCCGACCCGACCCGCCCGTCAGGGCTCGCGTCGGCGAAGCCAGCGCTGGCGAACCATCGCGGGCGAAACCAGCCGCCGGCGAAACCAGGGGGGCGAAACCAGCGGGGCGAAACCAGCGCCGGCGAAACCAGCGCCAGCGAAATCAGCCGTCGGCGAAGCCAGCGGGGCTGAACCAGCGCCGGCGAAACCGTCTCACGCCGACAGGCGGAACATGCCTCGGTAGGCCCATGGGAATGCCGGGACGGTCGGTCCCTGCTCGAACCTCGCGAGCGGAGGGGAACCGACACCTCCCACGGGGTTCCCACGGGCCGCCCACACCGGGCGAGGCCTCGCCGCAACCGCCGGCGCGCACGGGGCGCCCACGGGCCGCCCCCTGCGCGAAAGCTCGCCGCGCCCGCCGGGGCACCCGCAAAGCGCCCGTGACCGCCCACCCGGCGGAGCCTCCCCTGAGATCCTGGCGTTGCAATTTTTTCACGACCGGCGTTTTGGGTCAGTCTCGACGCCCTGGGGTCTTCACAGTTCGATCCAGTTCGAGGAAGGACGCAGGCGAATGGCGTCCAGGACTCTGGGCGTGATTTTTCACGACGTTGCTATTTTTTTTGCAACGTTGGATCTCAGGGTCGCCACGCCCGCCAAGCGCACGCGGCGCGCCCAGGGGGTGCGCGCGGCCGCCCACCAGGCGAAACGCCGCCATGCCCGCCCAGCGCACGGGGCGCCCACGAGGCGCCCGCCAGGCCGCCCACGAGGCGGAACCTCGCCGCACTCTCCCGGCTGCATAGTCTCCGCAGCAGGAAACCCCAAGTGCAGGCCCTCTCTGGGGCATGCAGGAGTGCCCCACCCACACGTGGCTGACCTGGGCTTTTTTTTGTGCGGTCTTTCCCCCGAACTGCGCTCGAGCTTGGGGGCTCTCATGTTGTGATCGAGGAGCTGGGTTGGCACGGTGGTGTTTCGCCACGGTGCGGGCCCGTGCCGCCTCGTGGGCGCTTCGTGGGCGCCCCGCGCTTGGGGCGTACGGCGGGATTTCGCCGCGGTGCGGGCCCCCTGCCGCCTCGCGGGCGCCTCGTGGACATTGCTTTCACCTTGCACAACATAGCCTGCACCGCATATGTTACACGACATAGCTTTGACCACGTAGCTTACACCCCCCGTAGTACATGCCATAGCCTTCACCACATAGCTTACAATCCATGGCTTTCACCTCCCGTTGACACCGGCTAGCTTGCACGACATAGTTTACACCACATGGCTGGCACCACGGCTCACACCGCACAGCTTGCACCCATTCTTGTCATCTCCATAGCTCACACCACATAGCGGACACGACAGCTTACACCACATAGACTGCACCGCACAGCGTCTACCTCCAACGCGCACCAGATATATTACACCACGCGATTTGCACTTTCTTGCGCCATTGGTTCGGCCGTCCGTGACTGCGAGACGTTCCCGCCCGTGTCGCTTCGTGGGCGCCTCCTGGGCGCCCTGTGCGTTGGTTGGGTTTCCCGAGGTCGCGCCACGCTGCTGCCCGTGCCGCCCCGTGGGCGCTCCACGCTCTGATCTTACGCGACGCAGCTTTCACCACATAGCTCAAACGACAGAGCGTAGCTCGCATGGCTTTCACGACATAGCTCAAGCCGCACAGCCCATACCTTATACCCCATAGCACGCACGACATACCTTACACCACATGCCATGCACCGCGCAGCTCTCACTTCCACAGCCCACATCACATAACTTTCACAGCACACCTGTCAAGACATAGCATACACTTCACAGCTTTGTCCTCCACAGTGCAATGACGCACTTTTCTGGGTCTGCGCTGGCTCTCTTTGCGTCCTGGACTTGTTGTTGTGGTTGTTGATTGTGTTTGTCGCGGGTTGTCTTGCATGTTGTTTTTTTTTTCCAGGCCGCCTCTCTATCGCAGGGGAGGAGGAGGAGGTGAGTGGTCGGCGTGCAGAGGCGCAGCAGGAACACAAAGCCAGCACTTCATACACAACGGACAGCGCTGAGCACGCACAGGTACTGATAGTCATACTATTGTCACATGCTTTCTTTGTTTCTGTTGTCCTACTGTGCTTTCAATGTTGTCATGGACTTGTTTTCTAGGGGTGTGGGGGGCTTCGTGTTGTGTTCGCGTTGGGTATCGTTGCTGTTCGCTGTGTGTGTTGTGTGGTGCTGTTCGGTTGGATTATTTCCCGTCTCGGGCCGTCCTCCCAAGTAGTTGTCCGTCTTTCGAGGCGATCAACTCAGAGTCAAATCGGTAAACAATGCACACAAGGAGAAGCAATGCATCAGTCTCGTTAAGTTGTGTGTTGTCTTGTGCGTGTTCATGTGTGTTTGTGTTGTTTGCTAGTCGTTGGTCTGTACTGCATCGGCGTCTGATCATGAGAAGGTTCGTAGTGAAGGGATTGTGGTATGCTGTTTTCCGAAATCCGTAGCGATGGTTGAATCATCGTGAATGATGTTGCATTGCTTTATGTGTGGTTTGCTTGGTCTAACGCCGTGGACCAGTCTCACGTACAGCTTCCCTGTCTCCCACGGCGGCCAGTTTCTGGGGGCCGCTTGCTTGCAACGCACGGACCCCTGACGCGATTGCTGCATTTGCGCTCGCAGTGTTCCCAGAGGAGGAAAAGGTACCCATACCTCCACTGCCCGCCCTTTCCTTTCTTTTTGGGCCTCCTGGGAGGCCCTCGTCGCCACTGCTGAATTCGCCTCGAAATCCTAGTCGGAGTGCACCCCGGGAGAGGTTCAAGGAGTAGCGGTATCGGTGTCTTTGGGATTCCCATGCTCTGGCGCCTGCGGCCTCTCTTCTGCCGCCCGTCCCCATCCTGAGCACCGCTCGGTCTCTTCAGGTGCCGCCGCCCTGCTTCTCTCTCCTGCTGCCTTGAACGACTGCTCCCCCGTCTGCTGGCAGACTTGCAGGGGTTGCTCCATCCTTTACTAAGCCGCCTTGCCAGCTGCTTCAACGACCGGTGACTGGCAATGTCGAGCAAGCTTCCCCGAGGCCAACAAAAGGGGCGTCCACTCTTGGATGCTCTCCCATCGCGTCCGCCAGCTTGTCGGCGTCCGCGCAGCAGCTGCCGCGCTGCGCGGCTGCGTTGCATGGATCGCTGCAAAACTTCAGGCACCCTTTGCTTTCAAGGTGACCCCGAGCCTGCTCGGAAACGTGCTTTCTTCTTCGCCTGCATGCAAGCGTGCTCCGCTGTCTGAGCGGCTCACGAGCGGCGAACGTGTTCATACCCACGCCCTCGCGGTCTGGACTCCAGGGCGCGGTCTGGCGGATACGCGGTCGCACGGATACGTTCCGCGCGGGCCCTCCGCGAAAAGACGCTCCGTGTCCGCCGGGTCGCGGCCCAGGGGCCCGGGCCGCGAAGCCGTGTATACGGACCTGCTCTCTTCGCCCACGAGGCGGCGATGGGTATGGCAGAGGCAGCCCCCCAGGTAGTCCCAGCTGGCCTCCACAGGCCCCCCGAGTGGCCCCCGGCGGTCTCAACACCCAGGCGCCGCCTCGGGCGGCGCCCCGGCGCTCCGGACTACTCGGGGGACTGCTCCCAGACATGCGATGTTCAGGTTTTTTTCAGCACGGCATCCCTTGAAGTCCCGACCCATTTCCTGGGACCGGATTTTCATCCGGAGTCGTTCTGGCGGCCCCGGGGCCCCGCGAGGGCCTCCGGAGGCTGGAAATGGACGAAACCCTCCCGTCCTGACCTTTCACGACGCGAGCATGTCTGGGTTGGCGCCAGCCCAGACCACCCGGGGGCGGGCTGCCTGTGCGCCACCCGAAGCCGTGCCAGGGCGGGGAGGACGTGCTGGCGGTCGTCGGCGACGCGCAGGGGGGGGGGTGCGGGGAGGGGGGAAGGCTCCTCCGAAGCACCCCTGCTTCTGAGAAGGCCCGGGCCTCGTCTGTAGATGTATCGGGGGCGGACAGAACCCCCAATAGTGACACGTCGATTAGTGAATTGTCCGTTTTCGGTTCTCGAGAGTTCGCCGCGGCCGTTATTTTCCAGGCTTGCGCCCGCCAGGTTTGGGTCTCAAGTCGTTTTCACTAAACCACGTTTTACTAAAGGGGGGTCTGTCCATCCCCGAATGTAAGGCTGGCGCCTTCTGAGAAGCGGCCTCCTTCCAGGACGCCTTCCCCCCTCCCCTCACCCCTTGGCGCGCGCCGCCAAGGTTGTGGCCTTCGGACGGGGCCGGGACGAGGATGAAATCCGTTCCAGAGCGCTCCGGGTCGCTTCCAGGGCGTTCCAGGACGCTCTGAGCAGGCCGCGGCGCCTCACACATCCTGCAGAGCCGCCAGGTCTCAGAGATGCTCGATTTTGCCTTCCCGATGTTTTGGCCTCGTCCTGGCCTCGTCCTGTGGTGGCCGCCTCGGCGGCGCCCCGCGGCCCGCCCCCGGGGAGGCGCACTTCAAGCGGACGGTGGAGGAGCTCTGGCAGGACCGCGCCGCCCCCCCCCAGACGGCCAGCCCGCGGCGCGCCCAGGCTCTGCGGAGGCAACGTTAGTTGGGGGAGGGGGTTCGGCGCAGGGGCCGCGACAGAACGGTGACTCAGTGAATTAATTCGACGAGCCGCACCAACATCATACGTTCACGTCTACGTGCGTGTGTGTAGAGCGGCTTTGGAATGACTCCGGAAGACTGGCTTTTGTAAATGAATTCGGACACCAGTCTTTGAATTCATGCAGACCTGGCTGTTGAATGCATCCAGCAAGGGGCGTCTTCAATACATTCAAAACCTGTTTTTTTAACTCAGCCAACACCGCTTTACACGCGCATCGATCCCCAATCGCCCACTGATCGCCGGTATGGGCTTCATGGCCCACCCCGCCCGGGAACGTGCGGACTCGCTCTCGGGGGCCTACAGCCAAGACGCTGAAATAAGGAACAGTTTGGATTCGGAGGGGGCTCGATGTTCCTTACGTCCTTCCGTGGTTGTTCCTCTAGCCCTTCCCGTGCACCCAGGCTTTTTGAAGCCACAGAGTGGCTTCGTTCCTTATTTTGCATACGTTATATCAGCAGCCCAACTGCATCGTCGATCTGTCGGCGATGTATCGCCGATTCCAGGTCGACGCCCCGCCCCCCCCCCCCCCTTGAGCTGTTCCCCCCTCCCTCCCTCGCGGCCCCCGCAGCTCCTGGCGGCACGCACCAAAACGAAGATCGCGGCGGCTGCGCTCCTCTGCGCGCCTCTTGGGTCCTCCGGGGGCCCCGTCTCGGGACCTGGCCGGGCGGGTCTGGGATTGAGTCGGGCATGTCCCTCGACAGGAGGAGTGTTCAAAAATAGTACAAGCAAGTTGGCGGGGACGATTCGTCGACTATCTGTGACTATGTTTGAACACTTGTTGACTATGTTTCATTTTTCTTCCAAAATCCGCCTGTAGCAGGACATGCCCGACCTAAGGCTAGGGCGAGGATAAATCCAGTCCAGAGGGTTCCAGAACGCTCTCGGAGCGTTCCGGAACGCTCTGAGAAGGCCGCGGCGCCCGAGACATCCTCCAGATTCGCAGGATCTCAGAGACTCGATCTATCCTCACCCGATGTCATCCTCTTCCTGGCTTCGCCTTACTTGGGGCCGTCAACAGGATGGAAATGCGATGTGAGTCCCTGGGGTGGGGTCGAGAGGCGCGCCGGCCACGGGTTGATCGGGAGAGGGAGAGCGCCCAGGCTTGTCGGTGTTTGCGGGCACTCGCCGATGTTGGCCAGATTTTGGGCTCTGCCGGGGCTCCAGACCTTGTGTTCCCCGCTCCCGCCCCCTGGGCACAGCGCCGACGTCGAGAGTTGAGGCCCGCGCGCAATGTCGTGTCTTCGCTGGGCCCACCAAAGACAGTGCTGTCAACCAAACCTGCAGGGTGGGCGCTCTCCGTTTTTTGCGCACTTCCAGCGTCTGTTTCGGCTTCGGGTGTGGATGCACTGCCATACGCCTTCGGGACAGCTCACCCGATTCGGTCTCCCGCTCGCATGTCAGGAGGAAACACACAGACATACTTAGACGTCGATCTCCAGGAAATGATTGGAAACTTCGGGAAGTGGAGGGGAAGACCAACATCCAGAAAATAAGAAAAAGTATGGGGAATCCTGAAATTTGTATCTATTTAGTTTTATCGCTTTCGCTCATTCCGCTGGTCCGTATTGTGCCATCCCTGGGCGCTTGCCAGCGCATTCGTGGCCCATGAGGCGCTGCTTGGCGGTGTTTTTTGGGGGGGTGAGGCGTGGCGACAGCAGGCATGGAGGTGAAGTAGTGGCTTTGGTGCTTGTCGTGGGGGTACTGACCTCTACTGCTCACCGACATGGCTGGGTTGTGAGTCAGAGTCCTCAGGGTTCTTTCTTGGGGTCTCTTCGGAGCTCTCTCGGGGGCTTCTGAAGGGCAGTTCTTGGGACTCTTGGGAGCATCTTGGGAGCCCTCTGGGAGCCTCTTTGGGGTTCTCTTGGGGCTTCCTGGGGGCCTCTTGGCGGCCTCTTGGGGCTTCTTGGGGGCCTCCTGGGGTCGAGGGCTCGAAATGTCCGTTCTGGTCCCCCGTCTGGGCTCCCTCTTGGAGCCGTCATCGGGACCTCTTGGGCAGTTTTTGGAGGCCTCTTGAGCCATTTTGGGCTCTCTTGGGCCGTCTTGGGGTCCTCCAGACGGCCTCTTGGGCTGTTTTGGGGCGATCTTGGAGGCCTCTCAGGCCGTCTTTTGGCGTCGGGACGCCGCAAAGGCGAAAATGCCAACATCCTTCAATAACCGCAGGGAAATCAATGTTTATTTTTACCTTTCTGGGGTCTTTGGGGAGTACTCTTGGAGGGCTATTGGGCCGTCTGGGGGCCGTCTTGGAGCGATCTTGTGGTGTCCCGGACGCCTCTTGGACCATCTTGGGGGCCTCTTTGGGGGCCTCTTTGTCCTCCTTGGGGCTGTATGGTGGGCCCCGAGGGCGGCGCCCAGGAGCAAAACCATCTCTGATCAGACCGTGCCGGGGTACTTTTCGGCCGGGGACCCCCAGGGGCGGCCCCGCCCGCGCGACTAGAAAACTCTGAAACAGTCACCCGAGATCTTAGCATGCCTCTGGCCCGTTGGGCTGGCGAATTCGTGTGTCCCTGGGCCCCTTCAGCATGGGCGTCTCCCTCCCTCCCCCTCGCTGGACCCCTCACCTGGCGGCGCCTCCAGATCTGACCCGAGGGGTCCGTGCGGACCTCCGAAAGTGCACGGTCAGGAGGGTCAGCGTATCGCTCCGCCAGTGCTGGCCCACCCCGCGAACCACGTCTTGATCCCCGAGCGCCGTTGTCCCGAGCTTTTCCCTGCTTCCCGTTCCGCGGAGAGGAGCGTCACGCTGTCAGCTCGCAGGGCATATCGTGTCGCCGGGGCAGCCGCCGCGACACGCTAAGCAGAATTTCCTGACCGCCAGCGTTGTGATGTTTTCACCATGTCGACCCCTTGTGGTCTCGACCCATGCCCAGGACGGGCGGTTCATCCTGAGGCGTTTTTTTGGCGTTCCCGGGCCTGGCGAGGGCAACCAGAGGCCGAACATTGTCGAAAACTATCCGTCGTGTTTTTTTTTTTCCCTCGCGAGGGGGTCCGGGAAATCCGCGCGGACCTCCGAACGTTTGTCTCGATTTTCCGAACTGGTGGCTGGGGCCTTGGTGGTTGAGCCAGTGTGCAAGAGCAGTTTCCACCCGCAAGTATGAGACCAGAGTTCCTGACCGTAAAGTCGGGCATGTCCCTCTACAGGATGAGTGCTCAAGAGTAGTAGAAGAATCGGTCGGTGACGATTTCTCATGCTCTTGATTTTGTTTTGACTTTAAAAAAAAATCTGCCTGTAGGGGCGGGGGCCTTGCGTGGACCGTCTGCTTGTACGGGCAGCCACCATGTGTATATATTACGACGTGGTGGTCGGGCCCATGTGGGCACCTTCTCACCGCACATAAGCAGGCAGCAGCCATCGAGGCACGAACAGTGACACAAACACGAACTTTCGCGCGGATTTCTTGGATCGGCGCCGGACCCCCCTCCCTGACGAGCGGAGCGCGCCAGTGGTGGCGCTGGAGGGGCCGCCAGGGGGCTGCAGCGCCGATCCGAGAGATCCGAGCGGAACTCTGGAAGTGTTTGTTTCTGTCATTGCCTGTTTCCCGACGTGACGACCATCGCACCAACCACCAAGCCGTTCATTTTCGATGTATGTCCACGCCGCTGCAGGGCTCATTTCGATTGCTCCGATTCGATTTCGATGACTTCCGATTCCGCTTCCATTCGATTTCGGACTCCGATTTGGGTTCTCATTTCTTGTTGGAGGCCTTCCAGCCTGCGCACTTCCGCCGACACGACTCCTCCCGACTCGGTTGCCGATTTCCGCCGACCCGAGTCGTTTCGATCGCCGATCCGACTTGTCGACTCGATGCTTGGCTCTCCTGCAGCTGCTCTGCCCTTGCCTCTTCGGCGGGCTTCTTCGTTGCAGGGGCCCAACGGTCGACCCCGGGACCTCTCCGGGGGTGCGTCCTGATTTGAGGTCCAAAAACAGTGCGGTGACAGACCGTGCGGTGACCTCGAAATCCCCCAAGACCTCACCGCACGGTCCGTCAACGCACGGTTTTGGGACCTCGGATGCCCCTGTCGCCCGAGACATCCTCAGAGAACGACCCGAGTCCCAAAACCGTGCGGTGACCCCGAATCCCCACCGACTCACCGCACGGTGTGGTCACCACCCCGTTTGGGGGCCCCCAACCTGACCAGAACCTGGTGGCGCACCCAGCCGTCGCGACCGCCGAGAAGCCCCCCCCCAGAGGCGTCAAAAAAACCTCGGACCTCGAAGCTCGAAGTTCGACCCTCGCAGTTCGAAGCTCGAGGTCCGAAGCCTCGACCCCAGAGGCGTCAAAAGCCCAGACCCTCAAAGTTCGAAGCTCGAGGTTCGTTGGGAAGTCCTCGCGGCCCTCCGAACGGTTTTACGGTCGGGCATCTGGTTCAGAAACCTCCTCCCGAGAAGCTGGGCCGGCGCTTCGTGGCCAGCTTGCCTGGACGCTGCCTCAGTCTCTGGGGCGCATTCGCCCCCCCCCAGCGCCAGCGACAGCAACTGGCCCCTGGCTTGTTTGAAGGAGCCCCCAGGAACACGCTGGCCCAGATGTCTTCGCTTGTATTCCTCCGGGGGTGGGCAGAGCCCCCACCCTGACACGTCGATTCGTGAATCGTCCGTGTTCGGTCCTCGAGAGGGCGCCGCGGCTGTGATTCTTCGGGCCTGCGCCCGCCAGGTGTGGGCCCGAGGCCGTTTTCACGAAACCACGCTTTGCTGAAGGGGGCTCTGCCCATCCTCGACTTCTCTCTGGATCATAACCTCTGAGCCCACGCCGCCGCTCTGCCCCCGGCACCCTCGGCAGGCCTCGTCGCAGGGGCTGGCGGAGGAGCAGGCGCGGGGCATCTTCCAGCGGGAGTGGGCCCACTTCGAGGAGATCCGCGCGCCCGGGGGCCGGGCGGCCCCTCTCGGGCGACGCGGGGGTGGCCGCGTGCGCCTCGGCCGCGTGACGGGGGGGGGGGCGCGTGGGCCCCCCTGGCGCTGTCTTTGCCTCGCTGGGTGTGCCTCCTCAGAGACCGCAGTGGGGGGCGCGCATCAAGAAACCACATGCTCTTCGTCAGGGTACCCTGGGCTTCTTCGCTCCTCGCGCTGCAAGGTGATTTCCCGCAGCCGTTGAAGGAGCTGCTGCGCTCAGGCTGCTCCGGGTTTCCCCTCAGGTGCACCTCGCGCGCGGGTTCTCGGGGTTGGGTTTCCTGCGTGGGTTTCTTGTGGCCGCGCCCGCGCTGTATATATCGAGGCTCAAGGGGCAGGGGTCCCCTGAGATCCTGGCGCTGCACTTGTTTCCCAAGGGGCAGGGGTCCCCTGAGATCCTGGCGTTGCACTTGTTTCCCAAGGGGCAGGGGCCCCCTGAGATCCTGGCGTGGCACTTGTCTCCCAACCGGCGTTTTGCGCTCCGCCTCGGGGTCTGGGACCCTCACGGATCGATGCGGCTCGGAAATGGAGGCAGGGAGACGTGGTCTGGGGCTCCGGGCGTGATGGTTTACGATGTTGTATTTTTTGTTGGCAACGTCGGATCGAAGGGTCAGTGCAAGCGGGGGTCAGTCAGAGCGCTTTTGTATTTTTTTTGGCAACGTCGGATCGAAGGGTCAGTGCAAGCGGGGGTCAGTCAGAGCGCTTTTGCATTTTTCTTGGCAACGTTGGGGCGAAGGGTCAGTGCAAGCGGGGGTCAGTGAGAGCGCCAGATCTTGCAGGGTCCTGCAGAGCCAGGGTTGCGCTGACCCGGGCTGGGGAGCAGGATCCTGCAGGATCTTGCAAAGCCTGACTGGCCTGGGTCTGCATTGACCAGGGTCAGGAGATCTTTGACTCTAGAAGTACTCAGTGGCAACGCACGCCACGGGGGAAACGGGTCCTGAGGGAAACGGGTCCTGAGGTCTTTCGCAGTCTTCGGGCTCTCGGGACCCTCCACGGGTCCCGGGACTGTCAGGAAAGGACTCTTCAGGACCGAATTCCCCCATGCCAAGACGATAGGGGGGGATAGGCATAGGGGGTGATGCATCGAGCCCCAATCGCCCATTGATCGCCGATGGGGGCTTGATGGCCCCACCCCGCCCAGGAGCGTGGGGAGCCGATCTGTCGGCGAGGTATCGCCGATTCCAGGTCGATGTTTCCCCCCCTATGCCAGTCCCCCCATATCGCTCGGGAGACTCTAAGGTACCCATGCCGCTGCTCCCCGGAACTCTTCTGGGGGTGCGTTCTGAGTAGGATTTCAAGGCGAATCCAGCGGTGGCGACGAGGGCCTCCCAGGAGGCTCCATGAAGGGAAGACGGGCGGAGAGTAGCAGTATGGGTACTTTTTCATCCTCCGAATCGTTGCCCCTCAAAAGCAGATCGCTGCCGATGCCCCTCCGTCGCCTTCGCGACCTCTCTGGGCCCCTCCTGCGGGGGGGGGGCTCTTCGGCACGCCACGGCCGCGGGCGCTTGGCCGGGGCAGTGCTGTTTTTGCCATGCCCGGCGGTGCCTTCTCGAAGACGGTTAGAAAAAACGCCTACCGCTGCCGCTGCCCCCCGTCGTGTTCGACCTCTCGGGGCCTCCTGCGGGCCGCTTCGGCGGCACGACCAGATTCGCCTCGTGATGCTGGTCGGAGTGCACCTCGTGAGATGCCCAGGGGGTAGCAATAGGCCCAGCTATATCTATATATTTATATATACACACATACACACACATACATGTATATACATATGCATATATACACAAAGTCGTTCCCCCAAATGTGTGTTGGTATTTGTTCGCTCCCCCAAATTAGTTGTTTGTTCGTTCGTTCGTTCGTTCGTTCGTTCGTTTGTGTTTTGTTTGTTTGTTTGTTTGTTAGTTTGTTTGTTTGTTTGTTTGTTGTTGTTGTTGTGGTTGTTGTTGTTGTTGTTGTTGTTGTTGTTGTTGAATTCTCACTTCTGAAGAATAATTATTGTTGATCCCCCCCACCGGTGCATACTGCTTTTTCTCAATCAAAGTGTGCCCTTCGACGCTCGCACCGTGTTTTTTGACAGGGACAGTCTTGATGCTCAAACTGGGCCCCTGGCCTCCGGGTTACAACAACAACGGCTCCCGCTTGAGACTTCCTTACAGTTTAGCCAGGACCCCCGCTCCCGCCCGAGGCTTCCTCGCATTTTATTCAGGAATGCGCTCTCGCTTAAGACTTCCTTACAATTTATTCAGGAATCGCTCTCCCGGCGCTCTGGAGTCGCACTCTCGCTGGAGACTTGCTTGCAACTTACTGACGAATGGCCTTGCGTTGGAATTTCCTGCAATTTGCCAAGCGCCGCGCTCCCGACACCCAGGCACCCAGGAGTCGCGCCCGTTGTGGCCCCATGTGCATGCCCTTCGTGGCCCCGCTGTCGCCATTTGTGTCCCCCTCACTGTCCTACGTGGCCCAGTTGCTACCCTCAGTGGCCCCATTGTTGCCTTCTGTGGCCCCGCATTATCTGCACTTCGTGGCCCCCGCTCGTTCGCGCTCTTCGTGGCCCCATACGCATTCCCTTCGTGTCCCCGCTGTCGCCCTTCGTGGCCTACTTCGTGCCCTTCGTGGCCCTGCTGTCGTTCTCTCTCGCTCTCGCTTTCGCTCGTCGTCGCCGTCGTCGTCGTCGTCGCGTCGTCTTCGTCGTCGTCGCGTCGTCGTCGTCGTCGTCGTCCCCCTGTCCGTCCCTCTTGGGGTCGGGTCGACGGTCCGCGGCCGCCCCGCCGCTTGCCGGGGCCCGGCCTGCAGGGAAGAAAGATATACCCCCCAAAAGGGGTTCGATCGAAGACGAAGAGGGCGGGTATCGAGGGTTTGGGAAATACGCGTTATTGGACACTCGAGCATGTAAGGGCGAGCGGTCTTAAAATTATTGTTGTTGTTGTTGTTGTTGTTGTTGTTGTTGTTGTTGAACATTATTACTTCTAAAGAATAATTATTGTTGGGGCCCCTGGTGCACGACCCCCCCGCCGCGCCTAGGCCGCAGCCACATTTTCATCATTTTCGTGAGGAAGTCTCAGGCAAAACGGGTTGGTCCGGATCCGGTTGTGTTGTTACGATCGGTTTTCCCTTGCAAAAAATAAGCTAAAGTGGACATTTCTTGTTCTAACATAACCAAACTTCAAGAATCCCTTGCAAAAAATAAGGTAAAGTGGACATTCGCGCGCGCAAGACGAAATCCTTCCAAAACCTTAGTTTTCGTAGCGATTTTAACATAAAAACATCAAAAAACCAATGGTTTTTCAAAAAAAAATGTCAAAATTTCATCCCGCGCGCTCTTGCGGATTCGTAGGAAACCCAACACTTTTTAAACATTTCTGTCAAACGGGCTTTTGCGAGCAACTTTTTCGAACTTCTGCAACAACGGTTGCGCACCTGCCAGGGCCATCATCCCTGTCAAATAATACCATGCGGGACACATTCGTTTTTTCTTCGCGCGCGCACGCCGTCGTCGTCGGCCGCGGGGCCCTGAATAGTAGCCACGGTCGTCCGCATGCCACGAAGTGAAGTGTCCGAACGTCATAGGGCGGGAAGCTGGGTGTGGGTGGTGGCGAAGAGTCGTTTGGAAATTTGGTAGAGCTTGAACCGGCCCCCCCACAAAGTGGGGGTATTGCCCGCCTCCTATGAAAACCCTGGCACTGGTGAGAACGGAGTGTCCCCACGTGCTAGTAATTGTTGTTGTTGTTGTTGTTGTTGTTGTTGAACATTATTAATTCTAAAGAATAATTATTGTTGGGACCCCTGGTGCGCGCCCCCCCCGCCGCGCCTAGGCCGCAGCCACATTTTCATCATTTTCGTGAGGAAGTCTCAGGCAAAACGGGGTGTCCAGATCCGGTTGTGTTGTTACGATCGGTTTTCCCTTGCAAAAAATAAGGCAAAGTGGACATTTCTTGTTCTAACATGACCAAACTTCAAGAATCCCTTGCAAAAAATGACACGAAGTGCACATTCGCGCGCGCAAGACGAAATCCTTCCAAAACCTTAGTCTTCGTAGCGATTTTCACATAAAAACATGAAAAACCCAATGGTTTTTCAAAAAAAGGGTTTCAAAAATTCACCCCGCGCGCTCTTGCGGATTTCTTAGGAAACCCAATACTTTTTCAACATTTCTGTCAAACGGGCTCTTGCGAGCAACTTTTTCACGTGCTTCGAACTTCTGCAACAAAGGTTGCGCGCCTGCCAGGGCCATCATCCCTGTCAAATAATACCATATGGGACACATTCGTTTTTTCTTCGCGCGCGCACGCCGAAATCTTCAATTGCAGGGGGAAAAGTCGTATACTAAGCTAGCTTCCACAAAATGTTACCACAACAAGTCATTGTACCCATGCGCCAGTGTAGTAGCCAAGGTCGTCCGCAGGCCACGAAGTGAAGTGTCCGAACGTCATAGGGCGGGAAGCTGGGTGTGGGTGGTGGCGAAGAGTCGTTTGGAAACTTGGTAGAGCTTGAACCGGCCCCCCCACAAAGTGGGGGTATTGCCCGCCTCCTATGAAAACCCTGGCACTGGTGAGAACGGAGTGTCCCCAGTCTTAAATGATTGTTGTTGTTGTTGTTGTTGTTGTTGTTGTTGTGGTTGTTGTTGTTGTTGTTGTTGCTGTTGCTGTTGCTGTTGTTGTTGTTGTTCGCACGAGCCCCAGGACTTTCAGGTAATTAACGACTCGGGAGGGAAAGCCATTCCTGGCAAACGGGTTGAGATTTGGGGGCTCGTGCCAAGGACAAATCATGACGTTGGATGTCAGGCACCCTGTTCCCCGGTGAAACCGTGCCGAACAGCCGAACCTATGCGGGGAACTCATTGTGCCGCGCACCACCCGCCCTCGGGCAGGGGTCGTTGTGACGGCATCTCCGATGCTGCATGCCAGCGGGGTCCAAGATCTTTCGATCGCTTTCGAGGGTCTTCGTGGGTCGTCGATTGGCGCAGGTCTCCGCGGGCTGCCGATAGAGTTCGGAGGTCCCTAGAGGTTCCCGGAGGCTTTGGGAGGCTCGTGGAGGCCCTCGGCCTCGAAGGTCTTCGCGGGTTGTCGATTGAGTACGGACCCCGGAGGTTCCTGGAGGCGCTCGGCGGCTCGCGGAGGCCCTCCGACGTCGTTGTCGTTGCGGGTCGCGGAGGTGGCGGGATGCCTCGTGCCGAGACGGACCCCGCCGCTGCCCGCCCTCGTCCCCGGGGGGGGGGCGTTTTTGTTCCGTCCTGGGCCCTTCCTCCGCAGGCGATTTCTTGCCCGCCAACCACGGACTTGTCCACGACAAGTCAGGCCGCTTGGACGCACCGCCATCGAGGATGGGCGCCCCCCTGGTTCCATATCCTCGAGTTGGGCCCCGAATTCCTAGTCCAATTGGCAGCCCCACGAAGCCTGGGGCAGAGGTCGACACATCCCCTGTTATCCCTCCTCCCCGTGCGCTGGGAGGTCGATGCGGTTTGGAGCGCTTGCTGCGCGTCGCGCCGCCAGTTCCGGCCCATACCACGCTGGGGCGCGGGGGACGAGGAGGAGGAGGAGGTGGAGGAGGAGGAGGTGGAGGAGGAGGAGGAAGAGGAATAAGAGGAATACTAGTGATAATAAGAACATAAAAACTAATAATACGATTTACAACTATATCACTAAGAGGACGAAGCATTTGAATGCGACTGGTAAGAATGATACTACTACGGATGATAATAATCACATACGAATAATAGTAGCAAGAAGAATATTTAGAATAAGAGCAAGCATGATAATAATACGAATACTGATAATACGGTTAATCAGAGTAATAAGAATAATATTGAGATGAATAACAATAATCTTCATACTCGTAATAATAAGAATAATAATACGAAGAGGAGGAGGAGGAGGAGGAGGAGGAGGAGGAGGAGGAGGAGGAGGAGGCCGTCAGCTCACGAGGCACAGTGTGTTGCAGGGGCCGCCGCCGCGGCACGCGGTGCAAAAGGTTCCCGACCGCACAGTGGAGGCCCATGCCAAGAAGCAGCCTGCTTGCCTCCAGGGTCCCCTGGGTTCCTAGGGTTCCGATGGTTTTTTAGGGACGTCCTCGGGTCTCTCGCGGAACAATCGCACTCCCCAACGAGCGATTGTGCTGCGGAGATGCGCCAAGCAAACCGGAGCCACGCACGGACCGGCCTGCAATCGGCGAGCCCGTGCGCGAAGCCGTGGCGTGTCCAGCAGAACGGAGCAAGCAAAAAATTAGAACGAGGCCGAGGAAGGAGGAGGGTTGGGTTTCCTGTGGAAGGTTCCTCCTTGTGGAATGGCCTCCACTGCGACCAGAAGCCCCACCCTGCCACGCCGACTCGCGACCTGCCCCCTGTCGGTGCTCGCGGGGGCCTCGCGCCCGCGGCCTCTCTGCGCGGGCACCGCGCCCGCCAGGCGCCTGGCCCAGGGCCAGCCTTACCTTTTCTGGGGGCCCCAGGGCCCGCGTGGTGACAGGCCCGGCGGGGACCTCGAGATCCGCAAGGACCTCCCCGCAGGGCCCGTCGCCGCACGGCGCCTGGGGCCTCGGAGGTCCCAGGCGCCCGAGGCGTCCTCGGAGAGCCGCCCGGGGCCCCAAGCCGTGCGGTGGCCCCGACTCCCCCCCCCGACTCACCACACGGTGCGGTCACCACACCGCGTGGGGGCCGCCGAGCTTTTTCGCTGAAGGGTGCTTCGCTGAGGGGGCTCGCCCTCCCCCAAGCGGCCGCTCCGCCCCTTGCCCGAGACCCTCTGCCCCTTGCCACGGCGGCAGCCGTCCGTCCTGGGCTCCTTCTTGTTGGTGGCCCCGTGGGGGCCGCCCCCCGGTGGGCCAAGGTCGAGGGAGAAGCGCCGCGAGACAGAGCAGATCGGCCCGTCGGAGGCCGCGATCGCGGGTTACCTCGCGACATTGTTTTTCATCCGTTGGCTCGTGCAGTCGGGCCGAGGTATACGAGCGAGGTCGGTTCGGGGAGGGTGCCCTGAGGTCCGTCGTGTTTGTTGGAAGTTCATGTGCATCCTAGGGAGGGTCCCCTCGGATGTTCTGTGTGCTTTGGCCGGCGGAGGGTCTCATGTTCTTGAAGGATGCTCTTCTGTCCCAGGTCCGACGGCAGCGGTCGTCACCCAGCCCCCCTCCGCAGCCCCCCCCGCAGCAGTGATGATCTTCAGTGAGGGGGGGGCCTGGACCCCGCCCCCACTTGCTGGCGCCCGCGCGTAAGCTACGGCGGTCGCAGCGCACCCCCGCCCAGGCGCACCCCACCCCGCCCGAGCGTTACCATTACCCCTGGCCCCCATCCCCCCCCGGGTAACGATTGCTACCGGAAGAGACATCAGACAGCCATTTCCGCCCCAGGAGGTCCCAATAGATGGGGGCGGAGCACTGCGCCGCATCGCCGATGCATCGGCGATGCGGTTCGATGCTGGGACCGTTTTTCTCGACGCCCACGTCGCCGGTGCATCGGCGATGCTGAGTGATCCTCCGGCCCCATCGCCTCGGACCCCATTTGGGAGGCCTCTATAAAGATGGGACTCTGAGGGATGGGGGGACAGTCGGGAGAGGTGTCCTAGGCTGAACCGTCACTGCTGGAGACCATTCGTCCTAGAGCCCCGCCCCTCAGGGCCCCGTCTTAAAACCTCCGCGTGAGGCTACGGCCTCACGCGCCTTGTCCAAACGGGCATAGGCACACGCGCTTCGCCGCGTGAGCCTGCACCGGCACCTCGCTCGCTCGCTCCATGCGCGGGCGCGGGTGAGGGGCATGGCGGCCCAGGACAAGTGCCGCGCACGCTTCGAGGGGACCGTGAAGTCCAGGAGGCAGCTGGCGGAAGAGGCCCCACCCCTGGCGGTTCCGTCGGCGACTGCGGCGGCGGAGGGGGGGGGTGAACTTCCCTTGCTCTCCCCACTTTGCGTTGGAGAGCGGGCGGGGGGGTGTTGCGACACCCCTCCTCACTTCCCCCGGGGTGTCCCCCCTCCCCCGTCCTTGCGCCGGAGAGACTCCTCTCTTCCACTTCTGTTCCAGGCGTTCGGGGGAGGGAGCAGGCTCGCGCTGGGGCGTTCTTGTTGGGTGCTAAGGGTCAGGTATAGGGTGCTAGGCTTAGGGTATCTCTGCATGACGGTTATGGTAGTAGGGTGTTGTTTTAGGGTATTAGTCCATGGTAAGGGTATTGGGGTCAGGGTTCTAGTCATGGTGCTAGGCTTAGGGTGAGGGTGGTAATGTTACAGAGTTAGGGTTGGGATGTGAGGGGCTTGTGCTACTGCTTAGGATTAGTGTTTTGGCTCGGATGGAGGTGATAGGGTAAGCGTGTTAGATTCAGCGTTAGGGTGTCAACTGTAGGGTTGTAGGGTTGTTGGTTTAGGTGTCAGGGTGAGGGTGTTAGGGTTAGGGTAGCAAACAGGTGTGAGTTAGGGTATCAGGGTTAGGGTGTTAGGGTTAATGTGTTAGGGTTCGGGTTGGGGTCTTAGGGTTAGGGTGGCATGGTTATGCGTACGGTGTCAGGGGTCGGTTGTTAAGGTTAGTGCGTTAATGTTATGGCGGCAGGGTTGCGATTCGCGTGCCAGGTTTAGGGTCTTTGGGTGTTCTAGTCGCGCGTTAGGGTTAGGATGTTAGTGTTAGGCTCGGGTTAGGTGTCAGGGTTCGTGTGATGGGGGGGGTAGGGGTAGTGTGATAGGGCTAGGGTGTTAGGGTGGGTTAGAGTGTCAGGTTTAAGGTCTGTGCTGGGGGTGAGTGTGCTGTGGTTGGCCAGGGTGTTTGACTTAGGGCCATTGTTCGGGGCTATCATGTTAGAGTTACTGATGGTTAGGGCGTTCTGGCTACGTCTTGTGTAGGGTGTCAGTGTTAGGGTGTTAATGTTAGGGTGGCGTTGTTTCGGTTCGGGTGTCAGGTTGAATGTGTGGGGGTTAGGGCTCCTTGGGGTTCGGACTCGAAGGTATGTTGTTAGAGTGATGATTTCAGGGTTAGGGTGTTCATTTTGGGTGTTCCACATTCAGATGGTGGGGTTAGGGTCGTGGTGTTAGGAGTGGGGTCTGAGGGTTTGGGTGATAGGCATAGGCTTTGGATGATAGGTTTAGGGTTAGTGCTTGGGGTTGGAGTGAGTGTGTTAGGGTTAGGGTTTTAGATGTTAGGGGTAGGCTTAGTGCTGAGGGTTAGGGTGTTAGGATCGGGGTTACCCTGCTAGGGTTTTGGGTTAGTATTAGGGTGTCATGATTAGGGCGCTAGGGTGTGGGTTAGGGTTAGTGTTGATGGGTAGGGTGTTAGGGGTAGGACTCTTCTGCTAAGGCCAGGGTGTTAGGGAGGGTCAGAGAGGTAGGGCGGTGCGGGTAGGGTTTCTGAGCGGGGGGGGGGTGCACCCCCCCCATGTGGGGCCAAGGGGGGGCGGTGTTGGGGTGGAGTGGGGTTCAACCCCCTGCCTCAGGGGGGGTGGCAACCCTAACCGCTTTGGACGGTGAGAGCGCGTCGATGCCTCTTTGCCAGTGCCCCCTGACGTTTTTTTCCGTGTCGGGAATTTCGTCGTCGTCGTCGTCGTGTCTCTCCTTTCCTCTTCCCCTCGGCTTGGTCGTTCTTCTGCATCGGCCGCCCTTGCCGCCACTCGTCTTGAGCTTCAGCCACAGAGCCACAGCTGCCGCCACCGTCTGCCCAATCAATCAATCGGTCAATCAATCGGGATGCTGCTAAGCCAAGCAGACTACGGATGATCTCGCAGCACTTTGAAGGCGACACTCTGCCCCGCATTCTGGGGTGCCCATTTGTCGAGATCCGCTCCTTCCTGGTCTGCCTCGTCCCACCTTGCTGTCTTCATCTCCTGTCTGGCGGTTGCATGCGTGTGACGTTGTTAATGACCAAGTCGTTTTGATGAGGTGCTGGTTGGATTTCATTTGCAGTGGCGGCCGTACCTTCCAGCTTCGGGCGTTCCGAGGGTGATGGCTTCGCCAAGCGTTTCGACCGCGCCTCTTTCAACAGCTTCGCAGGCAGCCTTCGTCAGAATGCTTTATCCAGCAGCCTTCCCCCTCGTAGTTTCGATGGTCGGGCTCGCCTTACTCGCAGTTTTATTGGACGGGTCAGACGCCCCTCGTAGATCAGCTGGACGGCTCTGAGGGCAGACGCCTTGCTGCCTCCCTCCCTTCCTCCCTCCCTTCCCCCCGCCTCCCTCCTTCCGGGGACCTCATGGCATCTCGGATCCCCTGAGGTCCACCGTGGCATTTGCCTCCCATGGAGGGCTCAGGAGGCTGGCTCACGGAACTGACTGGAGGGCTCCAGAGGCCTCCAGAGCCGAGCGACGAGGTCCCCAGACCCCCGACGACGTGATGTCTGTCGCAGCGTCGACCCCCGCGAGGATCTGGACCCTTCTTTCCCCAGGACCGCTTCTGAGTCGCTTCTTGACGGTCCCGAGGCCCGCCCGGGAAGGGCCCCCGCGTTGTGGACCCGACGACGTGATGTTTGTCGCAGCGTCGACCCCCGCGAGGATCTGGACCCTTCTTTCCCCAGGACCGCTTCTGAGTCGCTTTTCTTGACGGTCCCGAGGCCCGGGAAGGGCCCCCCCGCGTTGTGGACAAGTCACGACGGGAGGGCTCTGGCTATCTCGGCCTATAGGAGGAGGAGGAGGAGGAGGAGGAGGAGGAGGAGGAGGAGGAGGAAGAGGAGGAGGAGGAGGAAGAGGAGGAGGAGGAGGAGTAAGAAGAGAAGGAGGAGTTGGAGGAGGAGGAGGAGGAGTTGGAGGAGGAGGAGGAGGAGGAGGAGGAGGAGGATGGAGGACGAGGGAGCTGGGATGTTTGTCACAGCGCGAGGGGGTCTGGGGATCCGTGCAGATTTACCGCGCCTGGCCAGGCCCAGCCTGGGCGCCCTCCCCTCCCTGGTTCGGCCAAAGGAGACACATGCACACCGCTCCCCTGGTGCGCAGGCTGTGCACGGCCCACAGCGGTGATACACATATATATATATATATATATATATGTATACATATATATATATAGAGAGAGATACACACATACGTACATTTAGATGTATAGCCAATTTAGATCCCTCTACAGGGAGTCCTACAGTTAGGTCGAAAAGGGCACGTCCCTCTACAGGGTGGAAGATCCAAACAAACAATCTATCGGGGGACGATTATTCGATCATTTGTTTGTGGCTATGTTTGAACACTTTTTGACGGTGTCTCATAGGAGGACATGCCTGTGGGAGGACATGCCCGACCTAATCCTACAGAGGTCCAAAGGGGGTCCGCAGCGCGCAAAGTACTTGGGGCCCCTCACCCAGATCATTGCATGCCCTGTTTTTGGGGCCGCGATCGGTCGCCACCGATTGCGACCGATCGGCCGCGAGCGATCGGTCGCGACCGATGTTGAAGCAGCTCGGTCGCAACCGATACCGGAATTTGAAGCTAAATCGGTAGCGACCGACCTCGTCGGTCGCGACTGGAAAACTCCAGCATCAAATGATCAGGGCCCCCCTCCCCGGCAGACTCAGCGGGACCGCCCTGGCAGTCTGGGGCGGCCCGGGCATCCCGCGCGCGGCCCTCTCCCGCGTGGTGCAGATCAGGGCGCTCGGGAGCCCCCCCCCCCGGAGGCGAGGCCCACCCATGGAGGAGGATGAGGATGGATGGATGGATGGGACGTCATCGAAGAAGCCTGCTGGCCGTCAGCACGCTGACGACCGCCAGGGCCCCAGATGTCAAGAAGAGAGTCCCTCGCCGCCGCGCGCACGTGACCGCGGGCGCCGTGGCGACGAGGTAAGGACCCCGAAGAAGCCTAGACAGGCATCCGTCGCGACCCTGGCCTACGAGGGCAAGCCAGGGGGAAGGAAGCCACCCCCGCGGGGACAAAACGGGCACCCCAGCAGCCGCCCGCGGCCGCCCACCCACCCCGACGGGGGAAAACGCGGCGGCCCCCCCAACCCCCAACCCGCGCCGAGGGGCTCCGTACCAGGGTCACGAGGCGGACCCGACAGGAGAGAGTGAGTGCCGCGCCCAGCTCATCCGACGCAGTCGAGGCACACGGTGTAGCGGCACCGTTCGCACCATTGCGTGGCCGTCCGCTTGGGGAATGTCCTCGAGCACCACTCGCATTCGAAAGCGAAAGGCGGGCGGCGAGCGGGGCAGAGGTGGGGGAACACGTCGGGCGTGCAGTCCTCCGTCTCACCGCCAGGGGTATGAACAGCGGCCACCGTAGCCTCCGAGACGCCGTCGCCCTCGCCCGCCTCGCACACCTTCTCGAGCCATTCCCGAGAGATGCGGGCCCGCGCAGCCCACCATACGCTCTGATTGACCCTGTCGTCCACCACGAGGCCGACGGATTCCCCGAACTGCATAACCACCTGGTCCTTGTCAAGGGACTCCAGGTCGCGCACGCCCTCGCAGGTGTCCTCGGCGCCGTACTGCTTCAGCTCCTCGACCTCCGCCAGCCACCAGCCCGCCTCCAGCCCGCAAACGAAGAGTTTCGCCTCCGCCTCTTGGCCGCACGGCCGCCAGTCGCCTGGAGCAAGCCAGGTCGAGCCCGCATCCTCGTCGTCGCCGTAGTGCGCCTCCTCGTCCTCCTCCTCCAGCGCCGAGGGGAGGGCGTGGGGAGGTGGCTCTGCCAGCGCCTCCGCGTCTAGCTCAGCCGCGATGAGCAGCTTAGCCTCCCGCTCCGCCACGTGGACCACTCGGGCGTGCCCCTCCCCGAGACGAGGTCCATCAGCGGCCCACGCCAGGTCGGCCGCGGCGAACCCCAGCGCTGGGATGCGCGCCGCGTGGAGCGCCGCTTTACGTCGCCGCCGTCTCGCCCCCCGGACCCGGCGCCCGCTGGCCGCGAGCACCAGCGCTGGCCGCGCACCCGCCTAGCGGTCTTGCCAAGAACCAGGGCCGCCTCGCCCTGGCACCGCGGCCTCCGCCGCCGCCAGCCGCCGCTTGCGCGCGGCTCGGCGGGCTGCCGAGGCGCCCAGCGTGGCGGTCTCCAAAGACCGGAGGGCTCCTGGGCCGCCCCACCTGGGCCAGACCCCCCGCAGCCACATGCACCTTCTCCTCCAGGCTGACCGCCGACATCGCGGGGGCCGCGAAAGGGGACCGGGAAAGAGCACCTCTTGAGACAAAATGGCTACGGAAGGAGGAGGAGGAGGAGGAGGAGGAGGAGGAGGAGGAGGAGGAGGAGGAGGAGGAGGAGGGAGGAGGTTGGAGGAGGGGCCAGGAGGGGGCCTTGGTCTTGCACGCCGCGCCTTGCTCAACAACGTACACACACACGAGGCTGGACCTAGACGGTGCATTTGGCACGGAGACGCAGCGAGCTCGCACACGCGGGGGAGAAGCGGGCAGACGAAGACGCCACGCAGGGGGAGCGGCATGTGGTCACCAGCAGTCTCTGCGCGTGGTGAGCAGCTTCTTTGTTCAGGGGTGGGGGTCGGACGGGGCTGGGGCGAGGACGAATCCGCTCCAGAGCGCTCCGGAACTCTCTGAGAAGGCCGCGGCGCCCGAGACACCCTCCAGAGCCGCTGGATCTCAGAGATTTGTTCGATTTACCTTTACCCGAATTGGTCCTCTTTCTAGCTTTGTCTTAGGGGGTGGAGGGGCGCCGCGGCCAGGTGTGCATGGTCTTCAACCACGTGCTCCGGCAGCACCGGCACGGCGACGAGGACCTCCAGGCCTCCCCCCATTGTCGCCATGCCTCGCTCCTTTTGTTTCTGGCGACAAGGCGTGGCATTCTGTCGTCGTCCTCTTCGTCGTTGTCCTCGTCGTCGTCGTCGTCTCGTCGTCCTCGTCTCGTCGTTGTCGTCGTCGCCGTCGTCGTCGTCGTCGGAGGAGGAGGAGGAGGAGGAGGACGAGGACAAGGAGGACAAGAAGCAGAAGTCTGAGGATGCAGAGGCGTTTCGATTTCGGTTTCGGCCAAAACGCGGTGACTAATAGCGAGCCTGGGCGCGGGGAAACGATTTAGTTATTTTCGGGAGAAGACATGCCCGATTTGGGGGGAGACCACGAACGAGCCAAGGCCGCCTCCCTCAACTTCGCAGCGGGTGGCTCGTTGGCCCCTCATGCTGACTGGACTTGGGTTCGACTGAGAGCTTCCGTGCACTAGCAACTGCATAAGCTCCGCAACTGCGACAGTAAATCATACCCCACATCACTGCTAACACATGCGAATCATGCACAACAGGGAGCAGCGGATGGCCCGTTGCCGTCCGCTCCGCAACTCCTGCACATCGGCGATGACCAACGGAGGCTGAGGCAGCAAACCTCGCGGGTCCTCCATTGGTTCCCAGGTCCCCTCGGCTTGGGCCAAGGACGAGATAGGGGAGCAAGTCTTAGGCCAGAAATTGCACAGCTCGCCTTTCGTCGGAAGGGAAAGTCGGCAACGCACACATACACACTTGAAACCAGAAACTCGCTCGATCATGTCATGTGAGCGCTGAAGAGTCTTATCACCCGCGCATCTGTGGCCGATGCTCCTGACCTCTTATGGGTATCGTGAGAGCCTTCCCGAAACTAAGAGAAGTCCCGCTCACACCTGAGAAACACTTCTTTTTAGATGGCCAACAACCCCATATGGATTTTCTGCTGCAAGCCGTCAGCTTGGGCCACCGGTGCCTAAACTTCAGGAGACAGTTGTCCCCCTGAGGCCACCTCGTTCGCACATCGGTCTTCAGCTCAAATCGAAAGAAGCCCTTACGTTAGACGCTTGCATCGCATCCGTCTGATCATGGGTCGGGTGAGATTTCGTCCGCCGAAAATTGCACCTGGCCTGAACGTGCCCCAAGCTTATCCCAAACCTGAACCCAGAGATCCAACATGGTAGTTGTACTCGTTGTGATCTGCTGCGCTGGCTTGCGGCAATTGTTCACCACAGGCACGTTACCCTCCGTGATGGTCAGCACGACGAAGAGGGCATACAGTTCGGATATGGGAGAACTTTTGGACATAAGTGAGCAGTGTACCGGATACTCCACCTGCCACTTGCGTCTCATCGCCGCGGGTCATCAGAATTCCCCATTGACATCTCCTTAGTGCCCAATCCTTAGTGCCTTTCCTCCCCCATTCTGTCGATACTCCAGACACCCTCTTGGATCTTTCGAGCACAGTCGAGAGCTTCAAGGACCGTTGGAGCGCCTGGGGAGCAGGGAGCCCATCAACAACCTGGCTGGTCAAGACACATCAGACCTTTAAGCCACAAAGCGGGGATAGTCTCACTCTCCTCGATCGCAGTCGGGGCTGAAAAGGCAGTGGCCTGAACGGCCGACTCGTCGATGGAGAGTCATTGGCGCAGCACTTGCAGAAGCGGTGGGTTGGGGTCTCTGGTTCTCTTCCGCACCTAGCGCAGAGCTGAGGCGCATAATAACCCGCCTCGTACAACCTGGACTCCGTCCAGTAGCCACCTGGCATGGTAATCCTCAGAAGAGCCTGAGATTGATAATCCAAATGCTGCCCAATTAGCTCCAGGAGTTTCCGATGGATAGTGGAATCAATGCCGGCCTGGACCCGTTCCCCAGGTAATGTTCATCAGCTTTCCCACACACCCAGTTAGCAAGACTAGCCCTAAGGGTCCTCCAAAGGGACAGCGACAGCCTCTAAAGACATGGGGAAACCAAGCTCGTTAAGCTACTTGCATGGGGAATCAGACGTCCAATCGAAGTCGTGAAGCACAGCGGCAGTGGCAATCGCAGGTCCTCTAACCTGGGGCCACCTGCAATTGGCGGGGATATCTTGAAGCAGCTCATTGGTGACTTGTCACACTCGAGAGACCTTTCTCTTTTCACAGGGGGCAACGGCAAGCCAGAGCCCGTAAAACATCACCAGATGCTCGTGCCTCAATTTGACATCAGGATCTTGTTTGGTGCTACACCCCTGTTCAGAGTTAAGAACTTCTCTAGTCTAAGAAGATGCACTTTACTCTCAGGGTTTTCTTGAGCAGCAGTCCACGTCCATATGCACGAACAGTCTACGAAATGAATCTCCACGGCAACGCCTGGGGTCCAGTCTAGATTTTTGATTATCTTACGCACAACCTGGAATACATCAAGTTTGATGCTTTTTCTAAGATTTCTCAGGGGGGTGCAGATCAAGGACAGCACAGTGGTAGAGCAAGCCCCAGGGCTCCACCAACCCGAACATGGGGCCACTTGAGCCCTAAAGACCTGCAATTGGTGAGGGGAGAGTCCAACAATGGTGGCCCCAGGACCCCGCAGCTAACACTCCAGGTTGATTCAGTTTCAACGTCTTGGCAATCTCCTTGTCAAGTGAGAAACTCGAGCAGCACGCCCCTTAGCTTATTGCCTCCGCTTGGCATCCGCAGTCACTCTCCGCCGCCTTCCGGCCGCCGTAGTGGAACCCAGGTCCTTGGTGCGACTCTTAAATTGGATAGGGCGGCCAACGGCACGCAGACGACTGGAAAGAGGAGGCCCCCGACCTCAGAGGAACAATCAAGGGCGGAGTTATCATTCACAAGGCAATCCAGCTTGTTTATTTTGTGACCGAACCGGGCAGCCGCAGGAATAACTTGAGCAACGCTTCAAACACGTAAATGATGAGACCCACGGCATGCTCTGGGCACACCCAGGAAGACGCTTCTCCCCGCTCCTATCACGGAGGACACTTGACCCTCAACCTTGAGCACTCGGGAGAGGTGTGGACGAGCATGCCCGAATACAGGAGGTTTGGGGAAGGGGGAAATCCGTTCGTCTGGCGAATCTGGTCAGCTTCCGTGTGCTCACCGTGTCAAGCAATTTCTTGAGATCCCAGTGGAGGGCGACAGATACAGGTTCCTCATGCAGCGCAGACTCCTGCTACAGCTCTCTCATGAGAGTGGCCTTCAGCGCCGCCGAACCCTTGACCACCGAGACACAGACTGCAACATGCTCGGAGGTCAAGCAATCAAAATCCTACCCCCCCCCCCCCCCCAGTTTTGTGTACAGCCGATGCACGGTGGGGCATTTACAGACAGGTGTTTCATCATCTTGCTTGTTGGGAAGGAGGGCAAGTACTCCGAGCAAGATGTGAGATCATCGAGCCATCTGGGCCTCGCAAAAACGGGAACTGGACACGAGGGATTCTGGCGCAGCAGCGGGGAGGTCCAGCAGGGCGCTGGGCCACTTGCGAACCTGTACCATGTCCTCAGGACGATGCTTGAGTTCCCCCTGAGGCCTTGAAGAACTCAACCCCCCTTTTTACCATCCCTTTTTAGTCAAGAGTGCACCCTTTTGGCCCCATTCGGAGTGGTCTCGACGAGCCAGGCCCTGCTGCCCTTCTTGGAGGGCTCCTTAGCTGCTTCCCACGCTCGCTTGAGCACATCCGTTGTGAGTGTGATCAGGCGATCAAGTCAAGTAGGGTCAGCGAGCGCACCCACAGAGGTGTGATCAGTTCAGCATGGGGCAAAATTGAGCCTCAGGCAACATGTCCGCGTGCTTAGCCACACGGGAGGCGAGGCCCAACACCAGTGCCGCTTTTACGACACCGCGGGTGCCTGAATGCAAACTCGATTCCCTTCGGTGGGGTCGCTCTGACTACACAGACTTGGGATTGGATCCTGCCCATCGGGCAACGAGGAAAGGCCCCTGGTCTCCCGCAAGTCCTCCGCAAGAGCTCCAGCTCCAGCAGTACGCTGAAGGGTGGCCCTAAGCTCAAGCAGCTTGGCAGATAGCATCAAACCAGAACGACAGTACATGGATTACGTCAAGCAGTCCCAAACCGCCGTATTGGGAATAGTGGATGTCTTGAGTTTCACAGCGTCCTTCCTTCCTTGATCTGCCCTTGCTCTCGGAGGGAACATGCTCTCGGTGGCCTGCGACCAGGCCATATACTGACAGGAAACGTTGGAGTCCAGAGTCCAGAACTCTCCACAGCATGCGTGATAAGGTATTCCATTTGAACAGTGTTCCGTGCTCATGACCTGGTACAAGTACTTCTCCAATGGAAACTAAGGTCTGAAACAGTTCGGGATTTGTTTGGTTTCGATTATCCGGCACAGCGTCTGCTGCAAAACTTCGTGGGTGATCTGGATCTTCAGGCAGCGATGCGCCTTGAATCATGCACTCCAATATCGAAGAATGGTGCCAGCTCCCTTGCAACAACTGCGTGGTCAATTTTGAATCATGTTTTCGACGTGCATGTGAAGGGACCGTCTGGTGCGATAACACGGGCGCGTACTGACTGGGGAAAGCCGTTGAGCCGCATAGCGTCCACCCCAATGTTGAAATCACCGGCCAGCGTCCAAGGAATGGCTAGGGCCCGGATATGTTCTCACCCCAGACTCCCAGGCCCGACACGAAATAATATAACTCCTACGGCAATGGGCAGGCCTTGAACAGGCCATATCAACTCACAACGAGCTCTCGGCCTCTGGGACCTTCAGCTCCAGGAGCGTTCAACCTCATTCAGAATCAACATCCCAAACCTTGCCTACATGGGCAAGGCACTGCTTACAACAAACGCTCTCCCGCACGACGATCCCAATTCCCCTGTGAGTCGCGCCCACACCAGCTGCGACCCGTGAGGCGGAGGCGGAGGAGGAGGCGGGGGAGCGGGGGTGAGATGATGTTGATGGTGATGATGATGATGGTGATGATGATGAGGATAGTGATGTTGATGAGGGAGAGAGGATGCTGATGATGATGATGATGACGATGATGATGATGATGATGATGATGCTAATGCT